AGTGGCACATGCCTGTAGTCCCAGCTACCTGGGAGGCTGAGGCAGGAGGATCGCTTGAGCCCAGGAGTTTGAGGTTGCTATGAGTTAGGCTGATGCCACAGCACTCTAGCCCAGGCAACAGAGCAAGACTGTGTCTCAAAAAAAAAAGAGAAAAAAAAAATCACAAGCCAAACTGTGCATTAGAAAGAATGAGGATGCACCTTCACAATAAACATAAGAAGTATCAAAGTGAAATGTCAGAGATATCAACTGTCAAACTTAGTACTTGAGGAAATCAGACATTTCATACTTAATGACCCAAGTATTTTCCAGAGAATGGCCGCTGAGCAGATGTGCTGCCACAGTCTCTCTCCTGTGTGCTCCTCTCAGAACACAAGTGTTGGCATCACTGTCCCTTCCCTAGAACTGACTTACACCTTTGTGACTCCCTTGACCAACAGATTAAAGAGGGAGTGACTAGGTGACTTCTGAGCCTGTGTCATAAAAACCTCAGGCACTTGTACCTTGCTCTCTTGGGACGCTCACTCTTGGAACCCAGCCACCACGCTGCAGGGAAGCCATGCGGTCCACGGCGGGGTCAGAGGAGGACCCAGCCCTGCCCGCTCCTGGCTGGGCTCCCGGCCGACAGCAGCTCCCACTCGCCAGCATGTCAGTGGGTCATCTTGGAAGTGGATCTTCTAGCCTCCAGCTGACCTGCCCCAGCGAACGCCATGTGGAGCAGAGAAGAGCCTTCTCCAGCAAGCCCTGCCCAAACCACAGATTGGTGAGCTAAACAAACGACTGTTACTGTTTTAAGCTACTACCTTTGGAGATGGTTTGGTACAAAATAATAGCAACCGGATCAATTTTGATGTCTGTGTTGGCTGCACTGTGATTACATCACAGCAAAGTGCTTGGGGATGGAGCATCTAGTTGAGTGTTTTGTAGAATGTCCCTCGTACAGGTCTCTCCAATAGTTCAGGGGATAAAGTTTCCTATGCTGTATGTGTAACTTTCTGTACGTCTGAGGTGGTTTCAAGAGGAACCAAAGAAAGAAAGAAGGAAAATCACTATATATTGAAGTTTGCAGGATGCAGCTAAACCAGACTGGGAAATTTTTAACCTTAAATGAACGTATTAGAAAAATAAAGATTGGAAGTAAGCTGAATTCTCAATGCAAGCAGCTGGACAGAGAAAACAAAATAGCCCACAGAAAGTAGGAGCCATAATAGATTTAAACGAAATAGAAAACCAACAAAAAATTGGTAAAAACTAATGTCAGGATTTTGTAAAAGGGACTGATACAGACTTATTAAAATCAGAATACTAAGAAAAATGCTGACAAGAAACCTGCAAACCCAGATGACACAACTTTCTATATATAAATGACCACAGTTGGTCCAAGAATAAGTAGAAAGCCCATAGAAAACAGAAATGGAAATCCACCTGCACCCTCCCTCAACAGCAACAACAAGAGGAAGGTGCCAGGCCCAGACTTTTATAATTAAGTTCTACCAAACTTTTTTTTTTTTTTTTTTGAGACAGAGTCTCACT